ACCCTAAACCCCAAACCCTAAGCTGTCTGTGTCATTTGTTATTGTATGCCTGTGCTTCAGGGTGGTTTGGAGATCCGCCGGCCGTGCTCAGGAATGTAGCTATTAAGGGGCCTTCATAGTGACCTATACTATTTTATTTCATTACTTTTTTTGGGGGGGGGGAGGGTGGGTCCTCAATGAAGTTCTCATCAAATAATCACCGCGGGAGACCACCAGAGCTCAAACAAACCCTAAACCCTTAACCGTAGGGTTTAGGGTTTAGGGTTAGGGTTTAGGGTTTAGGGTTTAGGCCTTAACCCTTAACCCCCAAACCCTAAACCCTAAACGGAATTAGGGGGAGACAAGGGAACAGAGTCGGAACTTCAGGTTGGACTGCTCACCCCCAGAGCGAAACATCGGCATTCCCCTTTGTCATATTCATGAGAACCCCTATGCACAATGCACAGTAAACGGTTCGGGAAATAGAGTTCTAGACCGGACACTGCTATGTCCAGAAACTAGAGACGGGCATGACAGCTAAGATAATGTACTCAGGTTGAGTAGGATAATTGCCGTGTTTAACTTCCCACAGAACCCAATAACCCTGAATTAAGGAATATACCTTAAATTATAGGGGCCTGAACATTCCGACTTAAAGTATATTCCTTAGTTAAGGGCTATTGGGTTCTCTGGGTTAATCAGTTTAATCGAGCTACAGCCAGGTAACATCACTGTGGCGGAGGGCTTCAAGACATTATCCCCAGAGCGTGGAAGTACTCAAAACAGTACGGTTTAGACTCAAAGGGTCCAAAGTACCGATATAGTAGAATGTAGGGTTTCGATATTAGGAATTACCTATTATGATTTGGGGAAGGTGCCCCCCCATAACAGTAGCCCTAAAGATCCCTTAAAGGAACCCTTAAAAGGGACCCTATAGATCCCTTAAAGGGACCCCATGCCCTTTGGGAGAGGAGAGTTCACTAGTTGAGTACTTCGACCCGTGGGTCTCCAGCGAGCGCAGAAACCTAAACCCATCAAATTACCTTTAGGGCTTAGGGTTTAGGGTTTCGGGTTTAGGGTTTAGGGTTTAGGGTTTCGGGGTTTGGGTTTAGGGTTTAGGGTTTAGGTTACCGCATCATGATAACACCCCCCAAGTACAGCCTGTAGCCCTGAGACCTTCCCATTCCTTGTAAAGCCACAGAGGTCCTGCAACTTGCTCTATCACAAGTCCTTAAGACAACACTTCCGGCTAAACTATGCGTCAAGCAGCCAGGAAATCGTGTAACCCTACAGCCTAATATAGGGGCCTTAATAGTTAGAACAGGGTTTGGGGGTGTATCATACAGTAATTATAATAAGGCGCCCCCAAAACCGTGTTCTAATTATCAAGGCCCTAAACCAAAAACCCTAAACCCCAAAATCCTAGAACCCCAAAAGCCCTAGGCCCCAAAATCCTAAGGCCCCTACGTTAACAGCCAGAACTTGATAAGGCAAAGTCAAACTCCACCCGGAAGGTCTCAAGTGGACCCGATGCCCTTTATCCATCAGGGTGTAGGGTTTTAGGGGTTTAGGGTTCTACAAAGGGATCTATAAGGGTTCCTTTAAGGGTTCTATAGTGGGACCCATAAGGGTATAGGAGTTTATAGGAGTTTAGGGTTTAGGGTTTCGGGGTTTAGGGTTTAGGGTTAAGGGTTTAGGGTTCGTAAGCCCCGAAAGGCCCGTACCTTTGGATTGCCTTTATTGGCCTATCTAGATTCTAGATTTTATGGAGCATAGTAGTTGCTTCGGCATGATCTATAGGTTCTTCTGCATTATCTATCAGGAGTTGTCCCTCTTTTACTTGTTTACTTGGGTTCTTTCCCTATCGAGAATAGCAAGCAGTCTTGAACACGGCTTTTCCCCAATCGCCAAAGGGATAGTTCCTCAGGTCCATCAGTCCAAACGCGGAACCGTAGGACCCTGAAGCACAAAAGCCTACCTAGATGCCCTAAACCCTAAACCCTTAACCCTACCATGAATCCAAAGAAGGGAAACCGAAACCGAAACCTAAGAATAGGGCTTTGGGGTATATTATACTGCAAGTATATGTAATCATGCCACAGCAACCTCTGGACCACGAACCCCACTCTTAGTACCACCGTTTCATGCAGAATCCTTGTAATGCCGCTAGTAAACCCCAAATGTCCATGTGCTCAAATAGTATATACTTTGGCCCCAAAGTACCTTTTTAGGGACTAGTTTAGGACCATAGTATATACGGGAAACCCTCATGAAACCCGACGTCGAACACTTCTACGTTCTACATACACAACTCTTGAATGCGTCCTTGGCAGACATGTGCTGCTCCCACTGGCTCAGGTCCTTCTTCCGGCTTTTGATCGCTTCCTCCAGAGAAACATGTACATTCGCAGGTTTCAGGAGTTTAATTACTTTGGACTTTAGGGGTTTCAGGGGTTGTGTAAGGGTGTAGCTCGGATTGAAACATCCCTCCAAGCCCAGTTAGCTTCGTTGTATAGAGAGGCCCATGAGCTGGGTTTTGACCAAACAAACACGGCTCGCAAATATATCCAGGGGGCACGATCTCCTTTTGGTTGGGGTCTCCTGCTAAGGACATGTACTCCCCCATGGTCACGGCCCGTAAAACAAGGGACTGATAGCAAACCCTAAACCCTAAACCCTGAACCCTAAACCCTAAACCCTAGTCACTAGTCACCATGCAGGTCAATGGGCTTCTAGGCGTTACAGCTTTCCGAACTCGTGTAAGAACTACTTGCACCTGAAGCTCATCCAGCCGGAAGGGGTTTAGGGTTTAGGGTTTAGGGACTACGGATTGCCCCCCAAAAAAGTGTCAAGTGTACTCATCCAGCTAGTAAGCTTGCAGAATGTAATATTCAGGGTTGACATTATTGGTCGATGGCCCGAGTAAGCCCAGGAGCCAGTGGTCCATATATAAGCTAGCAATGACCATTTCCATTTTCTAACCATGCACCCCCCCCCTAGCACCCAAACCATAACAACCTACACCTCAACCCCAAACTCACCAAAAGACCTATAGGAATACCCACATGATGAAAACCATACTACCCAGAACCCCATAGAAAAAAAAAAAACCTAAACCCCATACCCCAATGCCTCCATGGAAAAACCATATTCCTTAACCCTAAATCCCTAACCCGTGAAAATGGAAATGGTCATGGCAAATAATTTATCCCGCCCGCTGGGACTGCCAAAGCTCGTCAGAAATCTGCCGGCAAACCAGACTGCCCGAAGGCGTTCTTTCCAAAGCAGACGAGCTGACCATCTAAGCGCACCGCACAGGTATGAAAATTGCCCGCTGAGACTGCCAAAACTCGTCCCAAATCTGCCGGCACGTCACACTGCCCATCGCTGTTGTCTCCAAAGCAGATGAGCTCACCATCTGCACGCACTGCACAGGTATGAAAACCCCCGGCTGAGACCGCAACAACTCGTCCCAAATCTGCTGGCACATCACATTGTCCTTCGTCGTTGTTTCCAAAGCACACTAGCTGACCATCTGTCCGCACTGCACAGGTATGATCACCGCCCGCTGAGACTGCACAAACTTGTCCCAAATCTTCTGGCACAGCAGGTGCCCCAAAGGGTTCATTGCCAAAGCAAATGAGCTCACCGTCTGTTCGCACTGCACAGGTATGAACACCACCTGCTGAGACTGCAACAACTTGTCCCAAATCTGCAGGTATATCACATTGGCCTTGGTCGTTGTCTCCAAAGCACACGAGCTGACCATCTGTCCGCACTGCACAGGTATGAAGAAAGCCCGCTGAGAAATCTACAGCCACATCCCACTGCCCATTGATGTGATCACCAAAGCAGACGAGTTGACCATCTGAGCGCACCGCACAGGTATGAACATTGCCCGCTGAGACTGCCAAGACTGGTCCCAAATCTGCCGGCACGTCACACTGCCCTGCGTGGTTGTATCCAAAGCAGATGAGCTCACCATCTGCACGCACTGCGCAAGTATGACCAAAGCCCGCTGAAACTGCCAAAATTGGTCCCGGATCTGCTGGCAAATCACACTGCCTGAGCAGGCGATTCTTCCTCACTACAGGGTTGCTGTAACCGGCGCCGGAAATTTGAGGGTTTTCGGCACGTGGTGAGAGTGCGGGAGTCCATGTCCATCTATGCATGTTGTGGGACGAGCCCTGGAGTTGAAGCCGTGGCCGCGTGAAACGTGACTGACCCAGCACCTGCACACACCAGGAGCCAGGGCGGACTGTAAGAAACGCCTGCAATGCCATTCTGGGCATCCAGGAGAATATGGCAAGTGCCAGGCCAGCTTTCATGATCCTCAAGAAATACATGCGGACGGGTTCTACAGAGGGGCCAGCTAAAAAAACTCTAAAGTCTAGACAAGCAGTTCTCTACCATGCCATTTGAGAGAAGACCGCTGAAACATCCCCACAAGCGTGATTCAACTACCATTTAGTGGATACAGCTTACAACTTCACTTTGGTTACCGTCTCATACCTAAACCTTATTCCTATTAAAGATATTCTATTAGAGAAGACCATTTCCATTTTCTACAGTGTGGGGTTTCGGGTTGCTACTATCGGTTTTTCTATGGGGGGTATTGGTGTAAGGGGTTGAGGTTGGGTTTTTTCCACGGTCTTCTGGTGGTTCCATCATGTCGGTATTCCTAGAAGTCTTTTGGTGGGTTTGGGGTTGAGGTCTAGGTTGTTATGGTT